TACTAGCTCTCAGATGTCATTAAAAGCAGGAAAGTTGCAGATTCAGAGCATGAAAACCCTTAGCAGACTTTCTGAAAAGGAGAAAAGAAAGAGGACCTCCTCCACTAAATCATTTTAGTACCTCATTTGCCTAAAGCTCCACTCACAAGGCTTGCCTTGTGATATCTAAGCAATGAGAGATTCTTCTCCTTCCTCTTCCCCATGTCAGCTTGACTCCTGTTGTTCTGCGTTTTGAAGATCTGCTTCAGGGTTTTGGGTGAACAAGAACCTGTTGGTTTTAAAATGCTACTTTCCCTCCAGCTGTTGAGCACTGCCTGAGCTGAGCACTGCTGACAGGCTACTGGGGGCAGAAGCAAGCTCAAGGCAGTAACAGGTCGTTTTGAAAAGGGAAGGAGGGAGAATGTGCACAGGCCTCCCATGCAGCTGGAGAAGAATTGTATGATGTGGTACTTCTGCTCATGTTTGCCCTCTGATATGGTATCTCCTCACATTAGGCAATAAACATCTTATTCAAGTATTTGGAAGTCACTGATAGTATTTGATGCACTTAGTGAAATGGCATGTTGGAAGGGCCTGCACAGGACCCTCTGATGCTGCTTTTATGCAGGCAGTCAGATGGGAAATGCTCTGACCAGGATGTCTGCAGTGAAGAAATTTGCAGGGCTGCCTGTTCTCCCACGGCTTCTGGGGAACATGCAGGATGAGAGCAATAGGTAAAATCTGGCAGATGAATCCTAACACACTGCCCTGCAGCCTATAAGGAGGAGGCTAAAAGAGAGACTCGTCCCATCATGAAGGAATTGCGTTTTTTTTTCTTGTCCTCTCTCTAGAGAAAAACAACAGAAAATATCTCAGCAGCTTTCTCAGGAACATAGCTCCTAGGATCACTGTAGAAATACTTATAAGGAGCAGTTGTAAGATGGTGTAGCAGGATTCTAAAATTTCATATTGTCCAGAAATTATGCTGTTTATTCTTGAGTGCCATCTACTGACAATTTCTGTCTTAGTGATTTACTTTTCATTCATATTGCTTATTTTAAATGCTCTGTGCAGCAGATGGAAGTGCCTGCAATTTTGGAGCTAACTGGTTAGGAGTTAGTATTTTATTGGGACAGCTGGCAGTTTGAATTGTTCCTTATTCCTTGAGCACCTCATTCCCCTCTGTAGGCTAGGATACTCATTATGTTTTCAGTTCTCTCCAACTTCCCTCTTTCCTTCCACTCATCACCAGGCTTCCTCCATTCCCTGCCTGCTCCTTCTGCCTAGAAGGCAATTTTGGGTTCCCTACGCTCACTCTTCTGGCTTCAGAACAGTTCTAGTTGTGCTGTCCCCCTTGTGCAAGAGGTTGCCTCCATAAGTTTGTTACAGTACTACTGAGGTCTTATTTCCCCCTCTCCTTTCAAGAGATTTTTCAGCAAGTTCTATGCAGTAACCTTGAAAATATTTAATGATCACTGACTCCGCTATATTACCTGTTCTAGAGGTATTTTATTTTAGTTATGAGATACATGAATTAGCGTTATTATTACAGTTTTCCATTTTCTATCTGTAAGATTTCCTCCCACAGCAGTCCAATACATTTTGCAAAGATAAAAATAAATTAAAGGTGAAAAGTTATTGCCAAGGACAAGAGCCCAGGAAGTTTAGCCTACAAGATATTTCTTTCTCCACTGAAAATATAATCTGTATAGATAAAGAAAATGCCAGGTACCTAACTCATTATAAGCAACTGAGAAAATGGGTCAAGAGACTTCCTTCTTATACACTTAGTTTTTGGCTTAGTTCCACCTCTGCCAGCTAGACAAAGGAATGAGGAAAATACTAGAAAAGTCACCTACAGCACAGCATCAATTTGATTGAGGCTTCTTTGACCATGCCTTAGACAATACAGCACAATGGCCAGTGACACCCAGACACTCAGCTGCCACTCAATTTCAGGCAGAAAATATCAAGTTGTAGAAGTGTAGACATTTGTCCACAACATACTTATACTGTGGAACTCCCTCCCAGTGGATTTTGCTCAGGTCAAAACTGCAGATATGTTTCAAAAGGATTAGACAGTTTCATGGTGGGCAGGTGTGATGTTTGCTATTAAGTGTGACAGCCTTGCTCTAACATCTGTTACAGAAAGACCCCGTAGAGCTAATGGCTGGAGGGCTGCAACAGGGAAACTACTGTTCTGGGCTGACCCTGGTTGGTGCTGCCAGTCCCTCCCAGGGGCAGCAGCTACAGCAACCGGGGGATGTTTCAAAGCAGCCATCTTCAGTCTGGGCAAAGCCTTTGAATTCCCGTGGAAATGGCAGTCTTAAATGGTTATTCTTCACTAAGATCCCTCAATCTACAGTGATAAAACTGGGATTGTTCCCCTGAACTCAATGCTACAGAAAGCACAGGGTGAGGCTTTGCTGGGGTTGTTTCAGTAGAGACAGTTTTGCTGAAGTGAGGGCTGAGAAGTGTTTCAGTATTTGTTCCTGGATTTCTAAATCCGTATTCTGCCTTTTGTATAAACACAGATCCAAACTAATATTTGACTGACTTAGACATTACTTAGCAGTAAGATGGCACGTGTCACTTGCATCCCATTTCTTTTATTTTAATGTTTAATAGCCTCCTGTGCTGCAATTCATAACGTAGTCTTTATCCTCCTTTCTTGAATCAGGCAGCAAAACCTGCTCTGTGACAGAGAGGATGCTTGTGAAATTGCTTCACAGAGGTTCCTCTCATTGAAGGGCTGACAAGACACCAGCTGAGGAGAAAGCTTAATTGCATGGGTGATCAAAGGAGAACGTATGAAGACAAGGAGACTGTAATGGGGTGTGCGTAGGAGTGTGTTTTAACGAGGGATTATAGGGGAACATGTGAGTCTGGCACACACAAAATGACAGAAATGAATGCATGAGCTAGTACAAAATAGCATGGTAACCAAAGGCATCCACAGATCAGCTTCAGTCCCTTCTCAGCTCTTGCCTAAAAGAACTATATGCTATTAGCTGTCATCCTCCAGACTATGCAAAGAGAAAAAAGATTTGGTCTTTGCAATTGGGAAAGGAGGAGGGGATGGGGAGGGGAACGGAGGGAGGGAAACTTCATGAGACAACAACATCTGTAAGTCATGAACTGGAAAAGAGAGATCAAAGCAATGAGCTGAAATAAGAAGAAAGGACAGAGGACACTGCTGTGGTGTACTCCTGGGAATGGGAGGAATTGACATAAAAAAATGAGGCCTGAAAAAGCACTGAAGGCACATGCCAGCCTTTCCATGTGCTGTAAAATGCTCTACTGTCAGAGGTTTGGTTCACAGTGTGTACTATGCTTTGTTGTATGCTGTCTTCCTTGACAGTAGCTCCACTGACATCACTGGGGGTACTTGAGAAGTAAGATACCTCCTAGTATCAAAATAGGCACCATTAAAATGGCTTATACACAGACTTGCACCATTTTAACCCAAATCCATTAAAAATCTCATTGCAGTTGTATTGGCATAAGCCTCTATGCCAGTGTTCTTCAACTGATTTAAACTGCATCAATATAAATCCAGTTGCAGTTGATTTAAGAGATTCTAGTCAGAAATGCACTGCATTTCACAAACTGATGGGAGGACATACCCTTACTGAAATATTAAAACACATGCACTCCATCTTTTTGTACTCAGCAGTGCGGTTTTTGAACTTTTGCCATTTTGTGTTTTATAAGTCCTTAAGGCAGTGAAAATTAGTAATTTTAAAACAGTCAGGTCAACAGCATTTTGCTTCTTCGATTGAATCTGCGTGCGACCACAGAAGCCTCGAGCTTTAGTGTTTTATAAAATTCTAAGGACAGAGTAGAAGCACAATTCTTTTTCTACTTATGCTACTCTGAATTCAAGAGGTTAGTGACTGACAACTTCTTTTTTTTTTTTGCAAAAGGCATCTAGTCTTTAGTTAAATAAACACTTTTTTGTAAAAATAATGAAAGCTCAACATCTAAGATGCCACCCATTAGATCAGGATGCTCAGGGCCCCATCCAACCTGGCCTTGAACACTTCCAGGGATGGGACATCTTCACAGTAGATAATTTCTTCCATATCTCTAACTGAAATACCTACTCTTTAAGTTTAAAAGTTTTTCCCCATATCCTATCACTATCTGCCCAAGTAAAAAGTCAGTCTTCCTCTTCTTTGTAAGCCCCCTTTAGGTACTGGAAGGTTGCAGTGAGGTCTCCCAGAGCCTTCTCTTCTCCAGACTGAACAAGCTCAGCTCTCTCAGCCTGTCTTCACAGCAGAGGTGCTCCAGCCCTCAGATAATTTCCTGCTTCAACAGGTCCACGTCTTTCTTGTACTCCAGGGGGGGACGCATGAGGGCAGACTAGAGGTGCAGAATCACCTCCTTCAACATGTTGACCACTCCTCTTTTGATGCAGCCCAGGATATGATTGGCCTTCTGGGCTGCGAACCCACATTGCCAGCTCATTTTCAATTTTTCATTCACGAGAATCCCCAAGTTCTTCTCCACAGGGCTGCTCTCAGTGACTTCTTCTCCCAGCCTGTACTCATTTCTGGAATTGCCCTGACCCAGAAGCAGCATCTTGCACTTGGACTTGTTGAACCTCACGAGATTCTTGTGGGCCCACCTACGAAGTTTGTCCAAGTAGTTTTTTGGTCTACATGGTCTATTTATGGCCAGCTTGGAGCAGTCTAATGTTAATGAAGTTTATCTAACATAACACTGGAAGAACAAATACAGTTATGGCCTTGGATTGGCACTATGTTATGTTAAAAGGAAGATAGAAAACTACTGCCCCTCACGTGCCGGCAGTGACAAATTATGCAGTTCTCTCCTTCCACTCTCACATCTGCGATAGCTACAGTAGAACCTTAGTTCAAACACTGTTCTTATTTAGTACTGGAGCTGTCAAGCCAGTCTCAGCTTTTGTGTGAGATTTCATGAAAAATAAATTTGACAATTTCTCCAAGCTGAAAGGCCTCTAACCATGCCTCCAGCCTGTTAGCCATAGTACTTACATGCTTTGTGAAATTTGTGTTTCACGTCAAGAACGGTAGATGCTGGAGGTACCTGAAAAAGAAAGCAAAATGCATGCAGATTAATTTTCTTGTCTTCTGCACTCTGGGATCCCTTCTCCATTCCTCTAATGAAGAGATGATTCAATTTGTCTGCAAGTTCTTTTGACAAAATTGAAAGAAATCAGGAAATTTATTCTCACAGGTTGATATGTTATTAAGGATTGTCCACATTTGACTTACACATTACCTGGACCACCTCTGCTTGATCAATGAAAGGTTAAAATCATAAGGGTCGAGGGAAAGCCTCTGGTCCTACTTGATGCAATAATTGCCCCCAAGATCAAGCCAGTGAGAAAACTCAAAGGGTTTATCTTTAAAGTTAAGTTCAAGCATGGTGAGGCCCATCTCCTAGAGACATGAAATGGATTTCCTGAGAAGCCAGTAGCAAGGTGGCAGGCTCTGTCCTTTCTGCCTGAAATGAGTTTGCTGCTGCATGGTGTTGTTCATGTGCACTGACGCAATTCAGGTGTCACAGTATTAGATGGCAGTCTGGAAGCCTTTTAGGCTCTATTTTATTATGTATATTGATTTCTTAATATACTTTGTACAAAGTATCTGAGAAACACAACTTAGTAGAGTGAAAGACTTAGATTTACAAGGAAAGGCAGTGGGACACTTCAGGAAGTAGTATGTTGAGCTTGAGATGAAGGTGACATCAAGGTTTCAATAACTTGACCCTGATTTAATATTGTGTATTGTTCATTTAAGCACAGAGGCTGAGAAGTAAATTGAACTGTGTCAGCTATGGGGATCTGCTTTGGTTCTAGCAAGAGATTTCATCACTGCAGTCACACAGCAGTATACAGAAAACCCTCTCCCCTGAAGACTTTAGGCACCTGTGTGGCATAGATTAATACCAGTATGAAGTGGTGGTGACTTATAGCAGAACCTTGAGGAGTAGCAAAATTTCTTTGGGTTGAGGTACAGAAACAGCCATAGCACCATTTTCCCTGTCTGGGCACTCAGCACCTGGTTCACCCCATCCCCAGCTTCCCTCAGTTTAACCAGAATGCAGCAGTTGCCTGGCGTAGCCTTCTTGGCAGTTACACAGGAACCCAACAGTCCTGCTCTGCAGAAGTTTATCTGTCTCTGCCCACCTAAAGATTTCTATGGGATACGCAGTTCCTGTTCCATTGTATTAGTTAGAACTCATACACTTAAACATTAACTGACTTACCGAGCCTTGCTTGGATCTTGGCACCATCTAGCTTATAGCCCCACTTCTTCCAAATGTGCTTACTGATATTTCTCTGTCTATCTGTTTTACTTACTAGTGATTTGTGACAATAATCATGCAAAAGAATAGAGAAGAACATAAGAAATTCTGCCAGTAGAGATCAGTCAGCACCTTAGCATAGGTTGTTTTGTGGAAGAGACTGAGTTTGTAGAAATACTGATGTGAGAAAATAAAATTGCTGACTCTGAAGTAACAAATCACTACAGAAAGAAAAGTTTACTCTTATATATTTTGACACCCCACACAGATATACAATATATGTGCCATTAGTACTTATGAGTAAGGCAACTTGTTTCCAGTAATAATATGAACAGACAGGGAGCTCAATACAGATTTGAATTATCTAAAGCTGTAAAATGACACCTGTGCTAAAAGGTTGTAAAGTACGGATTTTTTCTAGCTTTTCCTTTGGGTTTAGATGAGAACATTTTCTTTTCCATGGTTACAGAGGGTTTTATTGGGCATTGGAAAAGTCCTTATTTGCAGAAACTGCTGTAAGTGAACCTCTACTTAAACCTTGACTTGTCTCTCTGATGTGCCTGCCAAGCAATGCCAACTCCACCCAAATCAAGGGCTGGGCTCCTTGAAATCAAGGACTACCCTTTCTCTGGCCCTGACATTTGTGTTGACCCGAACCGTGTTGAATAGTACTGCACCAGGAAGGAGACATTGCCCTTGGAGTTCCTGATGCCAGCTCGGTCTCTTTTCTTCCTAGCTAAAGGGAACAACAGAAGAAACTATCTTATCTTTCTTGGTTCAAAATGGAAAGAAAAAATTTTATCTGTATTCGTTGCACTTAAGCCATTCCCTGCAACATCCATTTGAACACATCTCCCACAGTCTACATGTGCCTTTTCTCGTAATGTGTACAGCCTCTGTGGACTTGAATACTAGAGATGGGGGGGTTATGTTCTCAAAATCTCTAAAAATGTCTGAAATCGCTTTCTCACACCTTGTAATCTCACACCTGCGAGGCTTGGATCCCAGAATCTGTCAGATATGGATACAAGTGCCTTTAGCTGGCAACAGCTATATGGCGCACAAGACTGCAGACCAGAATCTGTCATGTGCCCTAGCACCGGGCAGGTTTGCAGGTATTCAGAGCTGGCATTGCCAGATGAAGGACAGGGATAGTCTTTTCCAATGTGATGGAGGATGAACCAGCTTTCCAAATACAGTATAATCTACATTATTACAGGGCCTGCATCTCTAGAGGAGATCAACATCTCACCATAATGTGTTCTGGGAAAGAGGAGCCAGGGCCAACCTGTGCTCTGGAGAGATGATTATCTGATTAAGTCAAAGAAAGCTGGAAAAACTGTTAACCTTAGCACACTTACAGAACAGTGCTTGCTTGAAACAGAGACAGGGTCTCCATCTCCTGCACTCCTGAGTGTGTGCTGACTTAGGGCAGAGCTGCTCTCAGTCAGTTCAAAATGTCTAGTCCAGCCCTTCTTAGCAAATCTACCTTTACATCCCTCTCCCTTTTTCATCCTGAGACATTCAGTGCTTTCTCCCCTCCAAATGGCTCCCTATGTCAGCCATGAGTTTCACATCACCTAACTTTAGCTGCTAAAAAAATTTCTCTAAGATAGTGGTTTAGGTCTACCTGTAAAACCATTCACATGCCTTAGGTATTTAAAAGTGACAAAGTGCCTGCCAGGATCTGTGCTTACAATGGTCTGCTGCAGCAGAGGAACCAGTGAGTGTGTCCATAGCATCCCACATCACACACCACCTCCCCTACCTCCAAAGGTGGCACTTGAACTGCAGCTGGGAGGACCGTGCTCTGTGTGACACCTGTGAGAGAGGCAGAGCTCATTAGCAGGAGCACTGCTGTGCCTGAGTACATCCAAGCTGCTTTAGGCTAGAGCTAGTTTAAATCTTGGCAGCTGGGGCCCAGAGAATGTGCTTGTTTGGTTGGTCACAGGCTGGCAGCTCCACATGGCACCACACTGAACGGGCTGAGGGTGCCCAGGGAAGGCAAGGAGCACACACCCAGCCAGGAGGGCAGGAACACATTTGTTTTATGAGCCAGCTGGCTTAGAGAAGGACCCTTCCACTTGAGATAAACTACACAGATCATGGGTTGAAAAATAACACAAATACTTTCCTCTTCAGAATGGGCTATGACATAGAAGAATCGCAGTGTCCTTTTCCAGGCAGAATAATGAGGCTGCAGGCCACAAAAGAATGAAATACATTTTTTTATGATCTTGATAATTCTGTGTCCTTTTTTTAAAGATCTCATAAAACAACCAGTGAAGTTATAGTTTCTAATATTGATCAATGTGAAGATGGATGCTGAGACATCGGCTTACTACTAAGACTTTCCTCTTTGTAGACCATTAATTATCTTTTGTTCTTTTCACTGTACATCAAGACAAGCTAAAGAATTGTAAGGACTGGAAAAGCATCTGCTCTTATTACCCTTTGTGCTAACTGAATAAAACACCTTGGAATATTTCACTCTAATTATTAGTCTTACACTCCTTTCATTCTTTTGAATTATTTGTGAAAGTGTTATAACCTTTCCTTTCCTCTATTTCAGCACTTTTCAAATATGCAAACGGAAAACAGAGTGAAAGACCATCCTTAGCTTATTTAAAGCAAGATGGATTTCACTGTAAAAATACCTCTTACTTGGCACATATCTTCAATAGTCTAATGGTCAAACCTGCTTTCCCTACTTCTTAACTTGTAGTCTTACACCAGATTTTAAATATAGTTAGTTTCTAGAAAGTTTACTATCATGTATAAGGTTCAAAACTACTTTTTCTTCAAAAGAAAATGTTATGAAGAAATGCAGATTTTACAGCTGTATGTTGCATTGATTACACTTTTCACTCAGAAAAGGATGATTTAAAAACCTCAAATCCTCTTTTTCCTGTACCTTCATAGCAAAAATACTCTCACTTTCCCATTTGAGGCAACTTTTGATTTTATAGGAATTCAAGAATGAAAGGACCTTCTGGGTCATCCTACCAGTTCTAATCTTCCTTTATGCACCAGTGCACAAAGCATGACATTTCTTTTTAAGATTTAAAATACCAAATTAGTATCTTGGGCTATGACCTAAGGAAGAGCACTAAGTAGAAGATATTAAGGGAACTTAATACTGCCTTTTGTGAGTGCAAGCTAGTCAGATAGTTACCCACTTTCCTACCTCTTTCACATTTGTAAATCAAGGAATTATGCCAAATCTGGTGATCTGCTTGTAATCGTATCACACAGTTCTTGCACCAAAGAATTATTGTAGGGGTTAGAGGTCAGCAGAATATCAATAAGAATTTGAACAATAGAATTTCAGCAAATAAGTGATTTTTCATTCAAGGTTTCCTTTTGAATATTTTTTCCTCCTTGTGATATATCAGTATTACTGCACTGCTGAGTCACCTACTTTGTAACAGGCAATCATTTTCCATAATTGCAGAAATTCAGAAATTCTGCCACTACTGCTGCTCATTAACCACAGCCCCATCTTCAGCCAGGGTAAATTTGTCTAAAAGGGTGACATCAGCTTATTGCAGCTGAGGATCTGGCTGCAAAACAGATAACCAGCCAATGGGAAAGCCAGGTACTTTCTAAATTCAGCACTCAACAAATACTTCCTGCTTTTGCACCCGTCCTTGTCTTGAGACCATGATGTACCACTAGAAATCAGCAGCATTTCACAGAAAGTTCATCAGGAAAACACCTGTTCTAATTGATCTCCCTGTTTTGCGAACTTGACTTCTAGATCAGATTATTTTTTC